AGATGTGAGGAGGAGGCAGGCAAAGAAACGTGGGACTAGAGGAGATGGGGAAGACAAAGGACACTGGGGAGGGAAAAGACCCGATGGAGGAGAGGAGGTGAGAGCGCTCACAGTGCTGGGAAGGTGGGGAGGAGGTGAGGAAGGGGGGGTGAGAGCTGTGGGACAGGGTAGGCAGGGACAGAAAAGGAGGAGAGACCGGGAAGAGGGAGACAAACGAGTGCAGGGCAAATGTAGGAGAAAGGAGGATGGCTGGAAGGTGGCAAAGGGACTCCTCAGCACCTGAAGTGCTACCCACTTCTGAGTGCTTATGTCAGGGCTCAGCTTTGCTCCTGAAATCTTTTACGCCTTTTGGGGACAGATGACTTCTAATAAAGCCCCCATGCCAGAACAGGATAAAAGCATCCCTTCTTCCCATTCTGCTTCCCAAATGATTTTTTTATTGCTATTTAAACCTGAAGGATTTTAAGCCGTTCTGAGATATTATGGGCTCTGACTCATGCCTTGAATACTGGTGAGCAATACTGGGTGTGGAAGGAGGAACCCGAGGGGCGTGGGCCCCTCGGAGAGGTACTCAATAGCACACGTGTCCTCTTAAATCCTCGGTCAACATTTGGGTATATTGCCAGATATAAACCTCTCTAATCCTGGAGGTACTGACTTGATACAGCTTCTTATACCCAGTGCCTTTGATACCGCTTGCATCTCACCTGCTTCCCAGAGCTAAATAATCATCACGGGGAGAGCAGTCACAAGGCTGAGGAGGGGATGGAGAGACGCAAGGAGTCAGGGGAGGATCGCTGCAGGGAGTGGGATGCTGAGGAGGCAGCTCTGGCATCCGGCATCCAGCCGGCGTGGAGAGGAAGGCGCTGCTGGGTGTGCAGGGAGGCTGTAGCGATGCCCAGACCCTGAGGTTACCTTCATTCCTTCTGAAATGGGGGAGGAAACACGGACCTGCTGGCTGGCCGTGCAGGGAGGAGGGCATTAGCTGGCTGGAAATAGTGATTTGCATACAGGGTTGGTTACAACCTTAATTTTGAGGGCTCTGCTCGTTACATCTGACTGTGCTTTTCTCCTGCTGCATTTTCCTTTGTCCTGTTTCTGTAATTATCCTCATTTCAACCCTGCTCTGAGGATTATTGGTCAGTAGGAAGCCTCCTAATGCCCGCTTCTCCTTGGCGGGGGAATACCCATGCCCTCGATTAAACTGAAACTCTCCAAACGGTGACAGAAGAAATTAGATCTATATTCCTCAAAGACACTCCCTGGGGCGAAGTTTCCCGACCCCCACCATGCAGCCCTGCCACCCTGCCCCTTGTGTTCGCTCTCAATATTCTCTTTGTTACAGCCACCTTCAGACCCGGCTCAGGGCTCCTCCGGGAGGGCAGAGGTGGTTTGTGTTGGAAAATCGTCGTGCCCGTGCCCCAGCTGAGCTCACCGACTGTCCTGCTGTAGCCCCTGCCCAGGACAGGGAGTCTCTGTTCTGAAATTGGGGTGAGGAGCCAACTCTAATAGGCAGCACTGTACCTTAAACCCTGAGATGCTGGGTGGCTTTAGCATAAGGTGGGCCCACTAAGTGAGTGATTTTTGAGAGGCCCTTGACTGGTGGCTTAAAGAACAGCATTTATTCAATCTATAGACTGTGTAAGATACACGGACCCCAACCAAGGACAACACAAAATACAGGTTAGAAGACTGGGCGTTCCCTTTGCTTGCAGACCCCTGCCAGCCCCTGCCTACAGGCCCTGCCAGCCCCTGCCTGCCCTCAGGGATGTGTGAATGCAGGTGACAAAGATAGTTTGCAGGTTGTTTAGATGTGCAGGTTGCTGCTCAGCAGCCTGGTGTGTACCCTCTGGACAGCATCCATGCATTCCTTTTGGAAAGCAGGCCTCAAAGGGACATAGTGTGTGTATATATATGTGTGTATATATATATATATGTCTGCAATATTTTTTTTTGTCTTTGCAAAAATGGCATTTTTTCCTTGAGCAAGCTAAGCGACCTCCCAAAGCCTGGCCCTTTTTTGGTCCCCCCTGCCATTACAGTAGCCACTGACCACCTCCCACTAGCCCTCCCCGCTTTGTGCCGAACGCCGATAGCAGCTGCTGGGTCCCAAAGGCTGCCTCCCCTTCCCACGGCACTCACTGCCAGTGTGAGCTGACACCGTTGGTGCCAGTCAGCTCGGAGGAGCACTGCTCCCCACACTTCCCACTCCCATCAGTCTGTCACCACTGCCGTGTGGCAGAATTACTGCCTCCTGCTCTCCAGCACATCCGAACACACAAAGAGCTGTGCTGCTGCTGCCAGCGCTCAGCTGCTCTGCGTCTGTGAGAGGGAGGGAGCCTTGGAAAGGTCAGTGCAGGGAAGGAGGGGATGTTGGCTCCTTCCTTTAGGGGCTGTATCCTGGCATCACAGTGAAACCTTGTCCTGCTGGCTGATCCACGTCTGCAGGGACTGCAGCCAGTGAGAGTACCCCATGTCGCAGGGCTTCCCAGGATGGTTTAGCACCATGTGCAGGTCCAAAGAGCCTCCCCTTGCCTGTTCCCCGCCTAGCAAAACCATCCCACATTATGGAAATTGAATTCCTTGATCGGTTGTGGCTCCACTCTGGACCCTTCTCTTGTTTTTATTCCTGGCCCAATTTCACTGCCAGCTTTAGCAGCACAACAGCAGCAGCCGCCACTGCCCTGGCTACAGCAGGATGCTCCCTGGAGCGCTGTTTAATTTATCCCCCACATCCCCCGTGCCCAAGGCAGCCCGAGGCGGGAGCACCGCCACTCTGCCCCCTCCAACCGCGTTAGCCCCGGGCCGATCTCGTCACCCCTGTCACCCATCGCTGACACTAACTCAACTTGCCTGCACTGTTGTAGGGGGCAGATGGACTGTCGGAGCCCGAGGGCATCTCTCTGAAACGCGTGGCTGTGGTGGAAGATTTCTTTGACATCATCTACTCGATGCATGTGGAAAGCTCGTCGGAGCCGGGCAAAGCACCCAAACATGCCGGGCAGAAGAAAACCTACCGAGCGGTGAGAGTCCCCCCTGTGCCCCGGGCAGTGAGGGGGGACTGGAGCGAAGGGGCTGAGGGGCCGTGGGAGTGAGAGTCCTGTGGGGATGAGGACGACAGGGCAGGTAGAAGCAGAGGCACTGGTGGAAGGCAGAGGCGAAGGAGAGCCCCGTGTGCCTGTGTGGGGAGGCGTGAGGAAGGAGGGGTTTAAAGGCAGAGCAGCTGTGCTTGGGGACGGGAAACGGGGCTGCAAACGGGGCTGCAGCGGCAGCACAGCGGCGCGGCTGCTGGGAGAGGAGAGACCCATACAAAGACACTACACGTCTGAGGGGAAAAGAAAGAGAAATCCTCAGTATTAGTGATGAGCGAGGGGATGTTTGCTCAGTCCTCTGCATGCTCCAGGCCATCTGCCTCCCTGTCTCCCTTGGCCAGAGGGAAATGTCTCATGTGGGCTTTGGAGGGCAGGAGCAGCCAGAAAAGGGGACTAGGGCATGACTGCAGCCCCTCTCCTCCTCCTCAGCCTCCCTGGCAGATGCTCCCACCAGCCCATCCTGGGTTTCCTCAGTAACAAAATGGAGGCAGGCACAGAGCTAAGTCTCATCAGGTGCTCTGTGGATGCTGAGAACCAGCTCTATCCATCCTGAAACCACTCTAGTTAGGTCAGGAATAATTTAGCTTGAAGTGTGCTTCTCCAGGGAGCTTGCTGTTTCTCCTGACTCTGCACAGCCCTTCAATGCAAACATTTGGGCTCTCCTTTTACAAGAAGAGCTGTCCAAAACCAAGCTACTCCCTTGATTCCCACAGCCCTAAGGACCAGGTCGCTTAGAGACAGGAGTGGCTGGCTGGCAGCTCGGCTCTCCAGTGTATATGTCATCTTAGAGAGGTCTGTGCAGGCTATCCTGGTCTCTGTGATGATGCCTGAGGTTCTGCAGAGCTCAGTGTGCTGCCAGAGCTAGTGCAGGGCTGGAGTCTGTCCTGACTGTCCTGCCTGCGGATGTCCCTGGTCCAGCCATGCTGTCATGCTGGCAGTGCTGGTGAGACAGCCCAGTGCCCTGCAGCCTCCCACACGTGGTGGGAGCCTCCAGGGAGCAGGACTTTGAACACAGAGCTCGTGGCATCGCTCTGTGCCCTGCGCACTCGACTCCTGCCCCTGAGGCAGAGTGTGGGGCTGGGGGCTGGGGCACACATTGACCCTCCCTGGCCAGGGGCACGTGACCTCTTTATGGTCCAGAGGGGACAGCCCCACCAGCATGACCACAATTCAAAAACTTTCTGCTCGTTTCCCCAGCAGACCACTCCGACCCTCCCCTAATTCCTTCAATTCAGCTCTCTGGAGGACTAATCTGTGCCCTGCACAGCCCCAGGGGAGCAGGCTGGATCCGTCTGTTTTCCCAGGCCTGCTCGCAGCAGTCAGAGAGCTTCACGCTCCACCCCTCATCTCCCTCTTGAGCTGAGATCATCACATTAGCAGTGTGTATCCCCTCCTGACCTGGCAGGACGCTGCTGGCTGGGCTGCCCGGCCTCACTCCTGCCCTCACTCCCCAGAGCACCTTTGCAGCCCGGGCTGGAAGGAGAAATGGTGCAGAGCACACAGCGTGCCTGGCTCGGGTATACAAAGGGATGCTGCTGGATGGCCAGTTAGGAGGCTCCAGGGTCCCCTGTCTCTTTCTTCCAGCTCCCTTTCCCCACCGCTTCTGATTAGAGGCACTGGAGAGTTTGCCCTTGTCCATGACCTCCGGAGGGAGGCAATCAGAAAGGGAGTTTGGATGGGAGATAACTCATCAAGGAAGCTGTCTGCTCTGCAGAGCATCAAATCAGCTGAGAAATAACAACTGTATCACTAAAATTAGCTGAGCATTTGCAGCAGAGACTGTGGGCTTGCTGGAGCAAGAGAGGCAGGGAGACGGCTGAGCCCGGCGGGCAGCGCGCGGGGACAGTTCCCTGCCTGCGCCACGACACCACGGCTGCCACCAGCAATTTTCAGGCCCCTAATTTCAGCATTTCTGTGGGAGTCCTTCATGCTTGTGCATCAATAAATATCGCACAGAGGCAAAGACTGAGCTGGCATCCGCTCGGTCACAAGAGAGCTTGCTGGGGCTGCAGCTAAATAGGAGGAGAATCCCATGAGGACCAGGCACTGCAGCCTCCATTTGAGTGCTGGGACAAGGTCCCCGCCTGAACTTTCCACCCATCTGGCATTCTGTGCATGTGAAAGCCCGGGCTCTGCTGCCGCGCAGTGGAGATGGATGCGGATCCCTCCCACCGCAGCGGCTGGGGCTGCCTTAGCCATGATCCCGCGAACCTTCTGCCCCTGCCCTACTGCTCTGCTTCTAGAGCAGGTTTTTATCCAAGCTGAATATCACCCTTTCCTGTGGGGTAGAAAAAATGCTTGGAATTTAGGTATTTTTTTATTTAATATGTATTTGTATAATTTAGGTATTATTTGTTAACAACATAAGGTGGGAGGATGACACCCACCAGCCAGAGGAGGGGGACTGGGACATCCTGGGCCGCCCTCCCAGCTCAGCCCCGTCACCAGCCCTCACCCACGAGGTGTCTGGTTGCAGCCCCACTTCCCGTCCTGAGCCCCACTTCTGCCGGGCTCGCAGCCCCGAGGACTGGCACAAACAATTGAATTTCTGTCTGCTTTATGACCCCACTTGTAAGAGCTGTGACCCCTGTGGGGGTCACGGCCCCTGGTTTGGGAACGGCCGTGCTAGGACAAGTCACTTAGACCAAACAGGATGGGTGATTAACCGTAGGAACCAGCCCCAAACTAAGAGGTGGGCTCTCCACCTCTTAATGCCTTCCAATTAAGACCAGATGTCTTCCTGGAAGATGTTTTAGGCAAACCACAGGCCACTGGGCTGCAGGAGAACCTGGGTGAACTTGCCTTACTTGTGCTACACAGGTCAGACTCCAAGATTTGATGGTCTTTTATGGCCTTAAAAAAGTCTACATTAAAATTGACTAATTCCTTCTCCAAATAACCTTGATCTTTAGAAATACTGTAAAATTGCTGCTGGCAGGGATTCATCGGAATAATAGGACTGTGGGATTGCCAGGCACCTTCTCTGGGTGCTTAGGTCTGGATCTGGTGTTTTAACTTCAAGCATCCAAGTTTTAAATATTTATCCTTATCTTTTCCTCATCTGTAAAATACAAATATCCCACAAAGGTTCAGGAGACTTAATTCATTACTGTTTGTAAAAATGTTTTCAATTCCCTAGATAAAATATGTCACAGAAGTGCAAAGTATTATTAACAGTAATTGATTGTCATTGTGGGAAAAAGTGACCTGCCCTTAGGAAAGATTAATGGATTCTTCAGGTTACTGGTGTGATGATAATTAACAACGCAAACAGAGCTGACAAGACCTTACTTTTGCATTTGATTCTTGCACATCTGTAGCTTCACTCTTCCCAGACTCCAGGGGGGAACGGGAAGGAGTTTCTGGGAAGATACGGGTATGCAGGGATTCCAAAGGTCTGTTCGGTTGTGTCTTGGTGCCTCTCTGACGCACCAGTTCCCCTCCCAAAGCATTCCCCCATTAACAGCTGCTCTGGGAGCTGATTTTGGGGCCGAAGGGAACTATGTGTGGCTGTGAGCTGTTGATGTCCCCAGTGGGCTGGGCAGGTGAGGTGGGAGGGTCCCCGCACTCCGCTGGCCATTCTCCCTCTCCCAGGACATTTAGCTCTCTTTTGTTTCCCCAGATTGCAGAGACTTATGCTTTCCTCCCGAGAGAGGCTGTGACCAGATTCCTGATGAGTTGCACTGAGTGCCAGAAGAGGATGCATTTCAACTCCAACGGCCTGGAGCCCAAAGGTAAGGGCGAGTGGCTTCTGCCAGCAGAGCTGACACTGCATTTTGTACCAGCGCGGTACCACCGACGGCTGCCAGATACTGCCCCGACCAGGAGATACATATTAGCCTAAGGATTTTCCCAACCCCCGTTATTTTTCATGCACTTTTAGAGCCAAGATGAAAGAATTGCTTAAACCTGCTTTGTCTGTCACTGCTTTCAGCTCAGGGAGCAGAAGCAGCCTGGCTTTCTTTGCCAGCTTCCCCAGTAGGTCAAAAATATCACGGATATGGCTGCAATCAGCCCATAATCATGTGTGGGTGGAAACTTCAACGTCTAAAAAAACCATGATCTAAAGTTTTTCCTTTGAACTGTTAATTTTGTATTGAATGACACGGAATATGTGTGAATGGCTGAAGTTTCTGATAAAGAAGCAATTTACAGTAATTAATAGATAAGCACATGATCCTGGGTTTGATAATGGCAAGTGTTTTGGCAATCACAGTTACATTGTGCCTGTGTACCCACCCAATTAGTGTGGTGGTTGACTCGTTATGGTTCAATGTGCAGCTCTTAGGCCTGAGAGAGAAACAGGGGGAAGATGATGGGATCGGGTTCTCTTCCAGAGGAGGTGGTTAAAGTTTGTGTGTTTGTGTGTTAATGTGTGTTAATGTGTGTTTGTGTGTTAATGTTTGCGTGGGTTTTTTTCTGAATTACAAACTTGTGATCAAGTGCAAAGCATCACACTGATGTTGGTTTCACACAACAAAATCATTTCTTTAAAAAAACCCATAAACAAATCGGGAAGAGTTTGGTCTTTTTCAAATCTGGAAAGGCAAACTGGCTCATTTGGCAGCTCTTATCAAGGAGGGAAGCAGAATTTAAGGAACAAAAGGCCCAACAATAGAACATTTCTTGTATTAAATACTGATTGCCAACTGTTTACTGCTGGGAGCAGAGCTACAGACATCCCAGAGGTTCAGTGTAAGTGGATTACGTGCCAGTTGTCCAAAGGTAGTGACTGAAATGCTTTGTACTCATTACATTTTTTAGAAACTCTCCCAAATAACCCCATGAGACTTTTACTAGCTGAAGCTCCATTACTGCAGCACTTCCCACTCTGCCAGCTAAGGGCCCGATCCCTGTTTTCCAATTATGTCAGGAGAAGTTCTGGCCTTTGGCCTCGCTGGGAGCAAACCTGACCTTCACAGTGATTGCACTGCATCCATCACGGGTGACATTCCAAGCACTGCGGCTGCAGCAGTCGGCTCAGTGGACGGCAAGGACGATGGGATGAGTCAGGCCAACAAGGATGTTGCCTGTTGGCTTCACCCAAACCAGGACACCTTCCAAAATGCCTGGCACTACTAGCTGAGCTGCCAGATCCAGAGCTCAGGGTCCTGTTTCAGGAGGCAGCTGATGAAAAGGGTTGTTTCCTTCATAGAATCACAGAAACTGGTTTGGGTTGGAAGGAACCTTAAAGTTCATCTCATTCCAACGCCCGGCTATGGGCAGGGACATTAAAGAAGACCAAGCTGATCTTCCTTCAGGGGCTCCCACCCACCATCCTGCATCTCCTGTGCTTCTCCCAGCAGCACACACCCATCCCAGTTCAGAGGCAGCTCAGGGAACACCGGGTGCTGGGTATCCTCCCCAGAGCAGTCCTAGCTATGGGAACCATGATCAGGGCTGAGAGCTGGCTGTCCTGAGCAAATTTATAAATTAATATCAATTATTGATTTGTTTTCGTAAAGCTTCTCCCCTTAGCAGTTCTTCTAAAAATATGTCAGTCAGGAAAACAAAGGATCCCACGTGTAAGAAGTCCCACTTACCCACCAGGAATGAAAGGACAGAAGTGCTTTTCTGCTCTGAATAGCACCTAAATAGTGACTAAGTGTATGTGAAAATGCATTGAGTAGATTAGATAAGGTAACTTTTACTGGGGAAGAGTGTCTGATTTCACTAACACTTATTCAGGAACTTATCAGGAGCAAATCACCTAAAAAAACACTGGGGTCGTAGAAGAACCACTGAGGTGCATGCACATGCATACACACATACAAGCATATACAGGTAAAGTTTAACTCGGTAAGATGACAGAATTTGAGTCATTCCCATCTCTTCCTGCTTCTCTTGTCCATGAAACAAATCTCAACACATTTAATTTGTGATCACAAAAATCCCTAATTAAACATATCTGACATCAAACCCTGCAGGGCACCCACATCATTCATAAAAGCAAATTGTCTTGCTCATGGGAAACTTTGAACGTCACTGGACTTCACTGGGATCTCTTTACAGTGTTACTAAATTAGGATTAATTCCAGTGGAGTTAAACAAATGTGGAATTAGGATCAAAACCATTTTACTTTCAACCATCCTGCTTGTTCCATCTGTATGTCCAACATGTGGGGCATGTGATAGAGATAACTGTTTGAAAAATGAGCTAAAGGATTCCAGGAGCTTCCGTAGGATGTAAGGATTGTTCCCGTGGAGCCCCCCAGGCCTTTTAAAACAAAGGTTTTCTTTCTTTTCCAGATAACTTAAAAAAGAGGGGAAAAAAAAGTGTTTGGTTTCTTAGGTTCAAGCCCTTATGTGCTGCAGTTGCACAAATTCACAGTTAATTTTTGGCTGCTAGTGGGATTATTCCAAATTTACATCAGGCTTAAGGCAGAATCTAAGCACCAAAGATCATTTACCTCCCTCTTCTTCCCCACCTGAAGTTGCTGAGCTGCTCCTGTTCAGCCTCATTCATCTCTGCAGCGCTGAGCACTGGAGAGGGGGATGTCAGGAGAGCAACTTATCATCCTCAGAGGTCTGAAACACTCTCCTCATCCATTCCTGTGCTTCAGGAGAGAGTAGCTCTATCTGTGTTACTCTTAGCAAATGCTTTTCTAAACTCTTCTTAAGGACTCAGCCAGCTGAGGGAGGTGGCAGATTGTGTCCCTGGAAGAAGGTCCCCTTGTGCTGGGATTTTTGCATCTTTTCATCACAAAACAACATCCTTGTACAGCAAAATAATGGATTATTTTGGGTGGTTAATATATAGAGGTGTAGAAGTGCTCTTAATTAATCCGTAGGTCAAATCATGACAGAGACTGATGACATACAGCCATACAAAAAAAAAGGAGGAATCAGTTTACAAGGTTCCTAAAAGCTATAGACCTTCATATTTGGGCAAGTCGATGGCCTGAGGGGCTCTGGCTGCCCATTCCTGCATCCACAGCCAGGAATGCTTCAGCTGCGTTCAGGGGTGGACTAGATGGAGCTGGGAAAAAAGCATTATATTGCCATGGACCCAGTCAGTGTCTTGATAGAGAAGATTTGCAAAAACCTTAAGTCACTTACAGCTTCAGGGTCAGGTCATTTCGTAATCAGACATGATAGATCTGGTGTTTCCAGAGGTGTGGAGCATCTTCAGGTCTGCTGAGTTTCTCCGGGATTTTTCGACACTCAGCATTTCTGAGCAGCAGGCCCATTACAGTTGGGATGATGGGTTTTCTGAAGTGCTGTAAAACATTTCGTGAAGGCTCTTTTTCAAGGGGCTGTGTCAGAGGTGCCTGTGAAACCAGTGACCCCGGGAAATGCAAGCCAGCCATGGAGATTCCAAACCAGGAATGGAAACCTCCCACCATCAGCTCACCTTCAGCTCCTGGAAATCCTTCTTCCCTGACCATTGTTGCTTAAGCTTCCTGTCCAAGGGACACCACACATCCTTTCAGCATGTGCTGGAAGGCTGGATTAATTCTCCACACTTGCATCTGCCTGTCCTGAGGACAAAGAAATCTCCCTTGTAGCCAGCAGCCATCCCTGTGGACAACAGCAGCTTTCCTCCTGGGCAAGCCCACTGCATAAGCCTGTAAATTCAGTGTTAGAACAGATCATTCTGGCAGCCTTCATGTCATGCATGGAGAGATCACAGGCTCTGCAGTGCTTGTGGCACAGGTGGCAAATCTTTGAGAACTCAGAGAAATCACTGAGAATTTGCTTTGTGGGGTCTCCCTTGGCCTGGCCACACAGAGTGATCTGCAGGAGTGTCCAAACCCAGAGCCATCCCTAGAGCTCAATTTAATGCAGCCAGAGGAATTAACAGGAACAATTTAAATTAAAGATCTTTAAAATTAAGTTTGTGTTTTAATGAGGATGTTAAAAATAATCTTCATCATCAAATACAGATACTTAATATGTTGCCTTAACGTTAACTCCTACCTGAGGGAATCCCAGCAAAATCATCAAGACTTTGCAATGCTAAAGCAAGCTGCAAATAGATCCTTGTTCATCACCCTCCACATAAATCCCATGTGTATGGAAGCACTTCTGAGGCATAGGCAAGACTCTGCTTCTTCCTCTAGTTTGGGGGACAGTGAAAAATTACACATTATGTGTAGTTTTTTTCCACAGGTGACAGCAATGCTTGTTTTCCTTTTTTTTTTTTTTTCCAAGACAACATCTGTTCTGTAATTATGTTCTTGGTGGGGTCATGTTCTTAGAGGAACCTTCGCTCAGCAGGCAGTGGCTCTCGCCAGGGGTTTGAAGTGCTCCAAGATACACAAGTGTAAAAGTTATGAGAACATGTCACAGGTCCCTCACCTGAGTAAAGTTTTTCCTCTGTTCTTCAGAGAGCGAGCCGCCTTCCTCCTTGGTTTCTGGGATCATTGACTACAACATGCCCCTCACCTCGACTTACCTGAAGCAGATGAAGCTGCGGGTGATGAACTCACAGGAGCAGGTGAGCGGGGCGGCACGAGGGGCACAGAGGGGCTCTGCCCACGCCGAAGGGCTGAACGGAGCAACCGCTCCTGGGCACGTCGGTTTTTGGGAGGATGTTTTTGGGAATGGCCAGTTTGTCCAAGCAGGTCAGGCTCTGGCTGACAGATGGTGCATGGAAGTTGAGGGGCAGCGTGTCCCAGATCTCCTGGCCCAGAGGAAGCAAACCAGGCTGTTTCAGGCTCATGTCAGTGGAGAGAGGCAGAGATGGGGTTGATGCAGTTACTGCTTATGACAGTCTGCTAGTTCTTGAGGCGTATGGTTCTTCTAAGAAATTGTCTTAAAAATAAATATGGCAAATAGGAATTTGTTTCTTTGCCTCCCCCTGCTTGTTTGGGAGCTTTAGCAGAGAGGGTCTGAAGCCCAGACCTTCCTTTGGTGCTCTGGTCCTCTCTTAAACTGCTCAGCAGCTTGAGGGGGTTCAACCACAGGCGCTCAGCTCCCATGTCAAAGTGGGAGATGGCTCCATTGTTTGATGACAGTGTTAAGCCACTGGATTTTGCTTTGGGGATGTATGGGGCACCCTGCCACAGGATTATACCCAGGCTGTGCAATTTTCTGAAGTTCTGCAGCTGCAGAATTAGCTATGGGAACCTCTGTGCACCATGGAAACAGTCTATAAAAAGAAAAGTATGTTTTACTTGCTCCCCACAATCTGCACTGGAAGCCAGTGCTGGATTTTCTTTCCAGCACACTGAAACCTGAACCTGATCTCACACATTGCTGCCAGTGGCAAAAAGTGACAGGGTTTGCATCTGCTGTGGTGGAAAACATTGCTGGGAGCTCGAGCTGTGAAGCTGTGCCCAATGTGGGCTTTTATCCAACGGCTTCCTAAAGGCACATGGGTTAGAGCATCACTGCCAGGGTGTAAAGTGCCAGGTGTGGGTTTGCTGGAGAGATTCCGAGCTCCTCCATTGCTTCCGCTGTGAAACCTTTTTGCTGGAGGACAAAATGGCATCTGGTGGGAAGCATTTCTGTGTCTTGGAGCTTTTTCCTTTGTGCTTGTTGGACACTTGAGTGGGTTTAAGGCTTTGTTTTAGGTTTTGAGAGGTGAAAGGCTGCGATGTGTCAGGTTTTGTACTTGTGGTGGGCTGGGCAGTAGAATAATGAACAGTTTGGGGGGTGACTGGGCTGGGCTGGAGACATGGAGTGGATGGATGTGCCCCTTCATGCCATCTGATGGCTGCTTCAGGACCACTTCTGGATAAACAGGGTTGGGAACTAACATGTTCCAGCCACCTCTGGGTTGTGCAGAGTGTTTGCTGGGTCTCAGTGCCTCTCCTGGCAGAGCAGCACTGGGATGGCAGACCTTGAAATCCTGTTCTTCACCAAGGTCAGAGACTCAGAGGCCATGAAGTCTGGCTGTGCTTTTCAGCATTTGAGGTGGCCGTTTAAAGTTAAGTTTGCTATATACAATAGGATGGTCTGAGTGGTTTGACTTGTCACCATTTATGCATTTTCAACCAGTTCCTCTTGGCTCTGAAGCTGCTAAAGGGAAGTGTGTTGTGAAGCTTCAATAAACTCCTGTACCCAGTTTCTACAGGTAGAAAACTGGCCTTGCAGTTTGATCTTATTCCCAGAATAACAACCCCCCCCAGAAGCTGGCAGGCATCAGTACTGGATCTTGAGTTTTGGAGCTGCCTGCTTAAGGATGCTTGTTTTGAGAGCTTTGGTTGGTAATATAGAGATTTGAGTTTATACCCTGAGTGTTGGTGTAGCAGTTTGCACTGGAACTGTCACTAGATCGATATAACGTGCTGCTAACATGAACGCTCCTGAAGCTTGCAAAGATCGGAGTAGAGGCGTATGTCATGTGGGAACAAAAAGGGACCAGCTGAGGCAACCAGCAGTTGTTGGTTTAGATCATAAATCAAATGGTTTGATGTTATTCCCTGCCTCTAAAGTTTTCCTTCTCCCGCGCTCCTGTCGGTACGTGGTAATGCAGCTTTCGAAGCTTTTCAAGCCGTAGCAGCCGAGGGAAAAAGCCTGTTTGGAAGAAGTAAAATTTGCCATTCAGTGTGTTACTGAAACTGATTCCTGAGAGCAAAATAATAAAAGATCAGTCCTATTGCTCAGACTTCTAAAGCGTTAACGCTTTCCATCATGATGACAGTCTGAAGAGGATGCAGGTGGTTGGACCCGTTGGGGAAAATCCAGCAGGACTTGAGTGCTGTCCATTCCAGTATGGGACACTCCCTGGATTCCCCTGGGGAATCATAGACTCATTTAGGTTGAAAAGATCTCTAAGATCAGCAGTTCCAACTGTTTACCCAGCACTTCCAAGCCCACAACTAAACCTTGTCCCCAGGTGCCACATCTACATGTCTTTTAAACCCCTCTAGGGGTGGTGACTCCACCACTGCCCTGGACAGATTGTTCCAGGGTTGGACAACCCTTTGGGTGAGAAAACTACTTTTTCTAATATCCAACCTAAACCTCCCACGGTGCAACTTGAGTGAAAACAAGTGCCATGCTCCTGAGGCAGCCGTGGCTGGACCTGGATCTGCTAACACAAAGGGTATGTGAAGAAAATGTGTGTATTAGTGCCAATACCAGGGTTAAGTTCCCTCCACAAGCATTCCCCTGCTATTTTTATGCCATCCTTTTTTTTTTTTCTGTAGGATCCTGGCAGTCTGTGTGGAGCATGGGCTGTGCAACACAGGCTGCTGCTCTCCCTTCCCCAGGTTTAGGGTTAGGGTTGCAGAGTTTGGAAGTTGCAGCTTTTGGGGTTCCAGGTGTTTGCCAACTACAAAACCCTTCTAAAGATGATAGAAAAAATTCTGACGTTTCTGCAAATGCAAACCAGGCAGAAAATGCAACCTGCTTTTAAAGTTTGCACTACACAAATATTCCCTGCATGTTTTTTTCTACCAGCGTGTCCTGAATGCTCTCAGCTTGAGTGATGCCACTGTGCCACCTCTCACTAGCATTTGATGGTGATAATAGAAATAAATTAAGCAACGGACTTGTGTTTCACTTGGCTCTGGCCAAAAGCAATTATTTGTATGCAGCAGCACCAGAAGGAACTTGCTTCATTTGGGGTAACAATGAATGAATTTATGCCAAAGTGGCCTTTTAACTTCATTATTCAGGAAAAAAATAGTGTGCATGTAAGTGCAATCTATTAGTGCTGCTAAGCACATCGGTATTAGGGCACCAGTGTCTCCAGAAGGAAGCACAGCCAGAACCTTAGAGAATGCATTTTATCTCTGCTTAGGGACAAAAAACTGTCAGAAGAGAAGCTCTTGTGGTTGCTTACAAAATGAAGAGTTCCTGCAGAATGTTTTTCTATATATTTCTTGGAGTCAGAACATCTGTTCTGTCGTGGTGGAAAACAACAGTGACCCATGTTGCTTATATTGGGTTCACTGGGACATGCAGGAGCTTCTGGGGTGGGAGTCTTCCTTTATCCCCATTTCATACCAGTTCTCACATGTGTGAGAAAAATCAGGCCCCTTACCCTTTCCAGAGTGCCGAATTAGCCCCATTTCAGGGTGTCTACCGAGGCATTAAAGCACTTCTGAACTGCTGACCTTCCCAATCTAGCAGCAAAAAGGAATGAAAAGAAGATATGATATTTATCTGTAATGATCCTTCCACCTCATTTTCAAATGCTAAATATTAGCATTTTTAAATGGTTGGTTATTCCATTGCAGTCATTTTCCAGACAATCTTTCCTGTGTTACTCAGCCCCAGCCTCGTATTTATTTTTCATGCCGCATGGTTGGGCAGGACTTCCACTGGTTACTGGAGGAATAGAAAGATTTTGAGGGAACAAAATGAGAACACTGACATGCCAGGCTCTCTCTCTGCTCCAGAGCTGTTGCTGTTACCTTGGCAGACACAGTCCAGGGCCGAGTAACCGGGTTTAAATGATACTGAAACGTTTTCAAAGATTGCTTCAGCGGCTGCTGGCAGAAGGTCACGCAATCAGTGAATGGCAGGAAGCTGCTCTTGGATGGGAAATAAGAAGAGCGTTTTTCTTGTTGCTATGGCTTTGCTGCACTGACTTGTAAGTGTTTGAGAGGGACAGAGCCTTGTCCTGCACCGTCACACACTCCATCCATCCAGTAAATTCCCTGTAAGCCTGGAGTGTGTGATGGTGCGTGGATGTGAAGTGATTTTCAGAACACAATTTCAAGCAATGTTTTAACCCAGACAGTGGGGTAATCCTGGGAGGGGGGTGGAGGGGTTCAAATCCCACTGGTGTATGAGGAGTTGGCTTTGTCTGGTGCTGGTGAGGATCAAGCCTTTGCAGGATTCAGGAGCTCACGGAGCCTCATGACCAGAGGCTGGTTGGCAATGTGAAGTCTTCCTTCTTCCACTCTCCCTTTCCTCTGGTCCACCCATTACTGTGCTTGCTCACTTCAGCGTCCCAGAGGCTCTGAGAGCAGCTGAAATGCATCTTCTCCTGGCAGCTCATTTGCTTCCTTCTGCTTTGGAGTAATCTTTAGACAATCCTGGGGGTGCAGAAGGCAGGGAAGGGAGCCTGCAGTTGCAGACGAGGACATTTTCAGTCTGTCAGTTCACTAGTAAGAGTTGCAGACTTCTCATTTCACACAGTCCAGAGACCAGGAGCAAATCTCGCAGACCTGGCAGCTGCTGGGTGAGCTCTGGGTCCTGGGTTTAGCTGCCTGAGTGTTTCATGAAGGCATCCTGAAGAAATGCTGTATGTGTTCACAGAGGTGAGGAAGGCAGAAGCATGCAGCCAGTACTTGGAAGGAAGTGGGATGATGTGTTTGTATCACATGAGGATGATAAGGTACTTCCCAGCCCATGAAAGAGGGTGTTAAACATCTCTGTGAATAAATACCTCTAAATCAACCTGACAAGATAGCTCTCATTCAAGAGGCTTTGTCTTGGCTTGGGAAGATTTTTGTTTCCTGCTGTTAATTTTTAAGACGGTTTGGAGCACTAGAGAAGTTCCCTAAATGAACCCTTATGCTCAGGAGGGACCATTGG